CTTCTTCTCGTACAACTTTCTTACATCTGATGCGGCCAAGAAGCCAAAAAAATTCCAGGTGTTTTTACACCGGAAGTACCTAGTGTAGGTTCCCACAAAAAAAGATAACATCATTTCGCAGAATTTTCCTTATATGAAAATCTTACACCGAAATAATCACTAAAATTAAATGATTTGTTTTTTGCATTAGAAAAGGGATAGCTTTATTTGAAGCCTTGTGGACGTCCATCGGTAGTATTTCTGTCGCAAATTGAGTTTACCTGGCGATGCGTATACAATACAGTTATCTCTTAAAAAGTAAAATAAAACATATTCCGAACTCCAAGGAAAATTCAAAACGAAAAGTCCCTTATCAAGTGGCAAAATTAAAAGCTCAAACACATCAAACGAATGGAAAACAACTGTCATATTCCTGACTTGGTACAGGCATTTCCTTATGTAGAAAATGGTGGATTAAACCTGGTTTCATAGCTAGCTAAACCTCTCACTTGTATTACAGTCGCACAAAAATCCATTATATTGACAACAATGTGTGAACAAACCAAACAGACATAATAGGTAAAAATGTTAATTCACCAGCCTTTATATTGGTTCTCCTTAAACTGACATTATCACAAAATTTGACATTTAACTTGACAAACGTTTCAAAATCAAAATAAAAAAAGAATGACCGGGGGGTCGGAGGGTCGGAAAGGGGGTGGTGGGGCAGGACAAATACTCTCCTCGAAATGAGATGCAACAAATTATTGAGGTCACCGACGCCGGAAACAACATGTTTAGTCACGCATCCACTACTTCGTAGAAGCAAGACAATGTTCAGTTTCATACATAAACGAAGAATTGGTGTGTTCCTGTTTGAACGTGTTTAACAATTTCACAAAACACTCCTAAAGTCTGTCATACTCATTGTTTATATATATATATATATATATACATAAGATAAATGATATCATAATATCATAACTCAGTTTTCATTATCCTTGCTATCAATGCCGCATGTTTGCGCCTGTCCCAAGTCAGGAGCCTCTGGCTTTTGTTAGTCTTGTATGATTTTTAATTTTAGTTCATTTATATTTGAATTTTAGTATGCGTCCATTATCACTGAACTAGTACACATTTTTGTTTAGGGGCCAGTTGAAGCACGCCTCCGGGTGCGGAATTTTCTCGATGAGTTGAAGACCCATTGGTGTCCTTCGGCTGTTATATGCTCTTTGGTCGGGTTCCTGTCTCTTTGACACATTCCCCATTTCCATTCTAATTTTATTAACTAAAGGATTGACTTGGCCAAGATTCGAACAGCGACCACCCACACCTGAGGTGTGCACGCTAACAATCAATCCTAAATGATAATTTGAGAATATAATAATTCAACCTCGCTTTTTTCAAAATCATATTTGCAAAGTTAATTTCTGGCATGAAGTTCATCAAAACGATATTAATCCGTAAAATTGTAAGGTTGTATACTAAAGAAGAAAAATATATATAACTTACCAAAATTAACGTCGTACTGCTTCTTTTCCACTTTTACATAAAAGACAACAAATACAACTTTTTACAAGTTTAATCTTTCAAAAAAAGTACGGAGACTGTTTATCAATATGAAGCTTACGCGACATTATATAGCAAGGTAAATCAGTAAAGGCAAAATTATTCCTTAATTGGGTCTAGGGTCGGATCTTGAATACTTATATTGTATACAGAAATGCTGACTACTGGGCTGGTGAAACCCTCGGGAAGAAAAAAAACTCCACCAGCACTGGCATCGTTCCAGTGGATGTAAATAAACTCATCATAGATAATACCAGGATTGCAATTGTGTACGCCAGACTCGCGATTTGTCTACATACGACTCATCAGTGACGCTCGAATCAAAAAAGTTTAAAATGCCAAATAAAGTACGAAGTTTAAGAGCATCGTGGACCAAAAATTCCTAAACGTTTTGCCAAATACAGCTAACAACGATCTTGACCTTTAACATGTGGACCTCAAAAATCAATATCGATCTTTCTCTCATTATACGTGATTATGTTTATTCGTAATGCTGCAATCCGATATAAAGTAATTGAGTTAGTATCTGAAAACGAAAATGACTGACGAAATGCCGATAAAACTGACCGAATGACTGGCTGACGGACTTGTCAAAATCTAAAAAAAAACGCTATTTCGTAGCGTGAAGTTGAATACGAAGGAGATGTGGTACGATTGTCAATGAGACAACTCCTAATATCTACCAGAAACCAAGTGACGTTTATGTAAAAATGGTTTGAAATAATGCTCAAAGAGCTATTCTAATATATGTCGTTAAGTCATATTCTACCATAGAAAATATTGTAACAGGTTTATCCTAGAACAAATTCTATCCTAAAACTGGTCCTGACAGCTATAATTATCTTAGAAATATTTACAATTTTGGACTGATTCTTGGAGTACTAATGTTAAGCTGTCCTAGAATAGTTTAGAACACTTCTATGACAGATTGTTTCCGACAGTTCTGAAGAGAATTCAAAACTAATACGAACTGTATGTATAACAAGGTTCCAGAGGGACAGTGTGCGATCCTGCAATACTGGTATAGAAAATACGATCCCCAAAAAAGACGAGAAAGAATCTACCGAGTATACACAAAGGCACCATTAAAAGAATAACAAACCAATGGCAGGATGTCATAAATATGAGTTATCTAAATAATTGAATTAGAAAATCAATACAGAATAAGCATGCATATACGTACTTTCTTAATTGTTATACAACATTTATTTGATGCTTTATAACAAAATAAAACGCTAAGATTTTTTCTCCAAAGTGTTTAAGGGGGTACATAACACTACAGGGAGATAACTCTGTAAAAATCAGCTGAACGTTTTAATCACGTTCTATTGTTAAGGAAATATTAAGCTTCTCAATGATCAAAATTAGTGTTTGTCAAACTGCTATATAACCAATGAAATATTTCCGATAAAGTGTGTGGATCAAGTTTTTTTAAATTTTTATATTTATGTCAAAGGGTCAAAGTAAATATTTTGTCAAAATTTTATGAAAATTAAACGAGCCAACTTGATTTTAGATAAGGTGCTTGGTACCACCTTGTTAATATGTGTATACGTTCATGCATTTGAAAAATGTGGGTGAAACCTTATTGTTCTCGAATTATAACCTGATCGTTTTGGAATGATTATTATTATGTGAATTGCATTTCTGGGCATTTACGGTCAATATGATACATTTTCTAATTTAGCTTATGCATGAAAGTATTGGAAATATTTTAGAAAGAGGTTTTATCATCACCTAAATGAGCCTTATTATAATAGAGTTGATTTTTCTAATTAGAAACAACTCAATAATTTGAAAGAAAAATAGCCAAAATGTTTTTTAAGGCTTTTTAAATTCGTTTGTAACTTCTAACTTGAATATAAAATAAGCAAAACTGTCTCATGATATCTTCCATCATGTGAAACGGATTCAGAGAGAAAGCCAAATTTCTTCTGAAAAGAGAAGCGAAATATACAAAAGGGACATTCAAACTCATAAGTCGAAAATAAACTCACAACGCCATGGCAAAAAACGAGAGAAAAGACAAACAACAGTATACAAAAAACAACATAGAAAACTAAAGACTGAGCAAAACGAACTCCGAGCAAAACATACGGGATGATATCAGGTGCTCCTGCTTTACATGTGGCACCCGTCGAGTTGTTCATTTAAAAACAAACCCTTGATAAGTTTAATTCGATAGGTCACATACGGGGTAAAGAGGACGGGATTGGGGGTTACGAAAATTGGACATATTCCATAACGGTTAACCAACTCGTGAAAGGATGATTTCAACTTCACCACTTAGAACTCTTGGTTTGATAGCTTCCTTGTGAAAAGTAACCCTTTATCAAGGAAATCATGATAGGAAATGCAAGCAAGAATGTTGCTACATAAAAATGAAAACAATAGGGAAGCTAAAATCATCTCTTTTGCCTAAGGTTTCTCAACCGACCCTCATTGTCAATTTCTAGATGAAAGTTAAGATATGAGGCAGACTTAACTGTATCTGTTGCATCTTTTATTTCAGGTATGGGATAGATGCATTCAAATAGTAACCAAACTTTAAATTATTTAATGAGAGGACATCATCAATACAGCGCAAAGTGAAGTTAAAGAATAATGCTAGCTTCTTTTTTCATTCTTTCTAAAAAGCTTCTGTATGGAGTCAGCCTCGTATGAATTAAAGAACAAGTCGGCAAGGAGAGGAACATATTTGGTTCCCATCGGAATGCCGATTATTTGTTGAAAAACACGTCCTCCAAACGCATCAAATATGTTGTAAATAAAGAAATCAAGCATCTTGTTAATGTCTGATTTAGAGAATTTTTTGTTTGAATCAGAGTATTATTTTTACAAAATACGATGTATTCCTCCCTAAGATAAAATACGTGTATCTACGATAGTCATTCTTTTTATCAAATAAATCAGGACCAATGCTTTCAATTTGTCTTTTAGTTTTAAATGGGAATACTTGGGTAAAGGGAAGAAAAGTCAAATGTTTAAATACTATTGCAAGATGAAAGAGTCTTCAGTGTTCACATGTTGATCACATATAACATGGCACATGTATCAACTGCACATGCGGATCATATATTATATGGCACATGTACCAATTCCACATGTTGATCATATATTATATGTACAAAATTAAGACTTCATCTATTACTAACCAAAAAAATAAATAAATTTGAATATAAACGCAATTTGCTTTTATTCTGTATTGTAATCATTTTGCCTTATGTGTTATGCTTCAATTAAAGTCAAGGGGGAAACTTTCAATCGGTGTGCCATATTATTTTTGCCTAGCTATATTCTTCTCAAAATACAAACCAAAGCAGGCATTTGTCAATTTTTTGCCTATATTTTGTATATCTAATGATCTAATAACACACACGAACAGACAAGATTGACTAGAAGACTTAGAGGTATAATGTTTCAGAAGAAAAACAATTTAGCAATGTCACAACTAGTAAGACTTTATTTGGATTTTTTTTTAGAACATTTACATTTTTCGAAAAGCTCTTTAAGTGCTCTAGAAAATTCGGCATCCATAAAAGTATATAATATAGGATTGAGAATACTGTTAATAATGTATGTGTGGTAAAGCAATAACACAGTGGCAGCTACTGTTTCAGACATCCTTTCCCAAAAATCTGGAAATATGCCTTCTAACAAAACAACCATTCCCACTGGAATATAACACACGACTGCCACAGCAGTTATTATAACAAACATTAAAGAAAACTTGTTTTTGAAGCGTCTTTTTCTTTTCGTGATTCGGTTAGGTTTTGAAATGTGTTTTGGCTGCGTAGAATGTTCGTTTTGCGCGGCGGAGGATGAACACCCAGGTGCAGTGCTTTCTGTGTAGACGTTAGATGACTGAGTTGGTTCAACCGCGGCGGAAGATGAACATTCAGGTACAGTGTTTTCTGTGAAGACGTCAGACGACTGAGTTGGTTCGATACTTGCATTATTCTTACAATCCAAACTGACTGCTGATTTGGTGTATGAAATGTCGATATTTTTCAGTTCTTGTGTTTTAATTGGAAGATTTTTGGTAGCCAAATCGTTTGGTAATTTGTCTGCTGTACTAGACTCTTTTGATACATTTGATTGCTTAAATTTCTGCGCATTGAAATGTTTAAAAATAACCCATCCGATTCTTCCATACAGGAAAACAAGTGTAAGAACAGTAAACACCATTAGAGTTATGAAAAATATGGCATACACTAATCCAGAGATGTAGACACCATGTTTAAGTCTACCACAACGGTATCCAGCAAATCGACCCTCTATGAAGTGTTCATTTAAGCCATAGTTAACTGCATATGGTACGGAGCAAGCAACTGACAAACACACCGATACGATAACCATTATTTTACGAGTTTTCAAACTAAGCTTTTGACGTCTACATATTATTAGATACCGTTGTATCGCAATGGAAAGTAAAAGAAAGATAGAAACGCCTGATGTTACAGCAAAAGAGTAAAACACTATTCTACAAACAATACTGTTAGTAAAAGTTGTTTCTATCATATTTAGAATTATATTATTAATGGAGCACACAGAACATGTCAGCATATCTGCCACAGCTAAAAATGGGATGAAATATCTCTCTTCTGATTTACCTTTCATTTGAAATCTGTATACAGCTAGAACAATGCTATTTCCTATCACACAAATAATAAGATATAAAGAAAGAACCACAACGTCAGCCATTAAATGTTTGGCCATGCCTTGTTTCAAGTATTCCTCAGATTTGTTCGTGAAATTTAAAGCCATTCTATACGAATTCATCATTTCACTTGTATTGTTTATGTTCATCTTCATTCATTTACCGAAAAACTTAACAATCTGGAAAAAAATAAAACATATGAAATTAGAACCTAACGTTTCATTACAGTCATGAAAATGCATATCATTGTACATTAAAGAATTTCGTTTTTTCTTATATGCGTTTTTTTCTGCGTGATTGCCGTCCGTTATTGTTCGACTTTCATATCTCTGTAAAAAATTACGGTACCATTTTTCTGCACCAGGTGCGCATTTCGACAATCGACAATAAATATTTCTGCAGTGATGCTCGAGTCCAAAATATTTGAAAATCCAAAATTATTAAAATATTTTAAAAATGAAGCTGATAAATCAAAAAGGACAAAAAGTATAGCCAAAACCGGGCATGGAATGAAATTGTCTAGTTTTCGTAAAACTATACCTTTTGTTTGCGGTATACCATCTTTTCCGCAAGTTTATTGTTTTCTGTTTGGTATTAAATTATTATTACATCTTGTGATCCGTTTATTTGGCAATCGCCAATGGCAGTCAGCAGGGTTTAAGAACATTTGTTGTTCGACCTGTTAGTCAATTGCGTTTTGTTAAAATATACCTTTTCACTTTTTTGGTCTTTTGGAAAATGTTGTTTGTGCTGTATTTAGACCCCTCTACCAAGAAATTTATTTTGCATGCACACGTATAAAAATTGCGGTTTTTATCCAACGCAATCATAGGTTTGAACGTTGTTTTCAATTTAGACTTGTATATATATATATATATATATATATATAAATATATATATATATATATATATGATACGGACTTTTTTTGTTATTGTATACAAATAGATAAAGTTACTTACCTTAAACTTATTAGAATCAAAATAGTAGAAGGTGTTTTATGTACCCAAAATATATATACTGGAGACACCGGATGAGATGTTGTATCTGAAGTGACAAGTACTTCTCTTCTTGTGTGAGTTCTTGGAAATTCAAACTAACGTTTGACCAATGAAAATGAGGCGGAAGATAACAAGGGGACATTTAAAACTCAAACCAAAACTAACAATGCCACGACAATAAATAAAAAACGACGAAAAGACGAACAAATCCATCGAAACTGAAAATTGAGCAACACGAACCACACGAAAAATCTGGAGTGAACTCAGGTGCTCCAGAAGGATAAGCAGTTCCTGCTCAACATGTTGCACCCGTCGTGTTGATCATGCAAGTACAAATCGAGTGTTGAGTCTCACTCGGTGATGTCACAATTGCGGAAGAGAGGACGGTATTGTGTTTACGAAACCGTGTTTACAACAATTGGAACAAATTCGTGTTCATCTGTTACACAGATACCGGTATTTAATAACAGTCAACCAACTCGTCATGGCGTCCGTAGAACTTTTGAAGGTTTTACTTCAACTTCACCACTATAACCCTTGATTTATCAACTTCCTTTTATGCAGCAACCCTCTATCAAGAATCATCATGTCAAAAAACGCAAGCTTTGGAATGTCGTTTCAACTTGGAGATATATATTTTTCATATGCAGGCACTACTGAAATGTTTCTACATAGAAATGGAAAGTTCATAATTGGGAAGATGAAAGCTGCAATCCATATACACAATTGTTTAGTTTATTTGAACACTTTATTATCAATACGTTAAACACGTGCATGTTTACACTATACGGACTTTATTAGCGGGGTGTGCTCCTAACACAAAAACTGCTTCAGTAGAGTTATGACTGAAATCGACATGACATAAGTTTTGCCGTCACCGACCCAATATGGCTGTTTCTCTACTAACTAGTGACATGTTTTCGCCGTCTCAGATCTTTAGATACCAGCATAGTTGTTGAGTAATCTGTAATATTACCGAGCGTGTCCTATTCCCGATTGTGACGTTTTGACTGAGTGTGGATTTCCATATGGCGGATTGAAGAATGTACCCGGTCACTCGTTCCTTTTGGGGCCATCTGATTCCCTCTTTTTTGTTTGTTGCCTTGATTTCTTTTTTTATTTGAGATTTGAACATCGGTAAACTACTGTTGTCTTGATTTAGACTAACAACTTTTGAAAAAAAGACGTTTCAACAATTAGTATCTCAATGTTTTGAACTTAATCTTGATATACTATATGGCCACTACACCCATTAATGTATTGAAAATGTATATTGGTATTAAAACAGGACATGCAACCTTTCATTAGATTCTGCAAATGTACATGGAAAAATGAATAAAACAGAAAGAAATTGATACCTATCGTATTGGCCATCCTATAAGGTGTGACTTAGATGTCATCTAAGTAGACACCACAGCGACTACCAGAATGTAGAACTGCAGACACTTTTTTGATTCCATGACGAGTTTTTGTATAATGATATCCCCGTATCCTTTCTTCTCTTCTACGTATGCAAAGCCTGAATACATTTTGGAACTATTTATGGTTCTTATAATTGTCTATTCCTGTCCATAGACTGGTAATCAAATACGAAAGGCAGCTGTCAGACATATAGAGCATACATTTTCTTTAAAGTATATGTTGATCAATTCAGAAATGATTAACAAATCAAGAATACAGCTCCCTCGGGTAGTATGAATTTCATTTTTTGTTAAGGTTCCCATTTTGTCATACAGCAACTTCACGTTTCCAATTATCTCTTTTTTGGCTTGAGCATTCCTGATGAAGGCCTAGTAAATCCAGAAAACATTTCGGACGCGCACAATTTACAAAGTGTTATTTTCCCTTTGGGTTTCATGTATAATCACAGATCTGAACCTATTTTTTTACTACACATTTTAAAATGGATTATTTTTTACAATTAGCAATGCTGCTTGATTTTCTGTTTCAACATTTTTACATTTTAGAATGAAGTGGACGTCATCTTTTACTTGATTCTTACAAAATTGCGCTATGAAGATTGTGTTTGATTAAACCATTGCCGTGACGTCAGCCTATTCATTTACCGTGGATTTTTTTCTAGAATCAACGCTTCCTAAATCTGTCGCTGAAATGAACTCACCAAATTATATTCAATTGTTTCCTTTGTGTGCCTAATTTCATTAAGTTTGAATTGGTTAATTCACTTATTTCTGTTCACTAATGGAATTAATTTAAAAACCTACCTTAAACTTTTGTAATTTTCATATGCGTCCAGTTGGAATCGAACCCCTCCTTGAAATCTGTTATGTATGGCTGACGTCAACACATAATCAAAACCTCTCGGCTACCAATGGGTTGCAATTTAGATGTATACTGTGTGTACGTTTTACTAATACTAGACCTATCGACTGCTTTCGATGTTATCGATCATCCTATTCTGATGAAGCGCCGGGTTGGAATACTTTTGTGGGATAACCGGTACAGCACTTAGTTGGTTGAAGTCGTATCTCGAGATGAGGACTCAACGCATCGCTATTGGTTCTGTTCTTTCGGATGAGATTCGTCTCCTGTATGGTGTTCCTCAAGGATCGGTCTTCGGACCGCAACTTTATTGCATTTTCTTAAGACTTATTGGCGAAATATGTAAACGCCATAATATGTGCTATCACTGTTATGCAGACGACACACAAGTTTATCTCGTGCTCAAACCACTTGATAATTGACGAACATATCTAAGCGACTTGAGGTTTGCGTGCATCAGCAAGTGGATGTGCTCGAATATGTTAAAATTAAACGAGGATAAAACTGAACTGATAGTATTTGCTCCAAAAAATCGAGTAAAGTTCCTTTCAGACTTGCAGCTCAATTTTGGTGGAAAAATTGTCAGTGATGCTGAGTGCGTTAAAAACCTAGGCAATTATTTTGAGAAAACTTTAGCAATAGGCAAACAAATTAGTGCTGTTTCAAAATCATGTTTTAATCAGATCAGAAACATTGAACGAATTCGTCCATTTATTACCGAAGAAGCATGCACAACGTTAGTATGATCTCTAGTTACCTCTCGTTTGGATTATGGAAACGCATTGCTGTATGTACTCCAAGCTACTTTTATTCAAAGATTACAGCGATTCCAAAACACAGCAGCCAGGGTCATTACAAGGAGGAAGAAGTACGACCACATCACACCAATCCTTAATTCTGTTCATTGGCTGCCCGTAACGTATCGATGCCAATATAAACTTCTTGTGTATGTGTTAAAGGCTTTGCAAGAGGAGGCACCGGTCTAACTACAAGAACCTATTAACATATACAAACCGATGCGAGCACTTAGATCTGAAAATGCCATGATTTTAACAACGCCAAATGTAAGAACTAAAACATAAGGGGGAAGAAGATTCGACAAATCAGCAGCTGTTCTGTGGAATGATTTGCCAAACTAACTACGAATCATCCATTCTGTGAACTTTTTTAAGAAAAACCTGAAAACTCATTTATTCAGACATGCTTTTGCATAGTTCTTAAAATATTTCTACCCCAATGTATTTTTTTTAATTTTTAACTATTTTTAATTTATTTGTACGATTTTATTGTCTTCTTCATTTTCCATGCCCATTTTTTTTTATATTCTATTGTTTATCAGTAAATATAATAGTATAGTTTTATATGCAATATATTTAAATCATTTTTTTAGGATTTTATAAGATCTTTTTTTTTGTATCTTTTAAAAGTTATTAGTGATCGTTTTTCTTTTTATATGCTAAGTTTTTATCATGGGCTTTCATATTTTATTGTAAATACTTATATGTGTGAATTGATATATGTTGTAAAGCGCGTAGGGTAATTTTCATATTATATAATGCGCTGTATAATTATAATAATAATAATATATAAATATACATATGATACATATCGGTACAACGGGCACAAAGGTCATATACCTTTATTTATCATATACTTAGAGTAAATAACTTGTAATTTTTACAGTATGATAACAGCATTAAATTTACGTGAATTCCATATTTTCCGAATTGGTGTTTAGCGGGCTGATTTGAAAAATTTATCACATGCTTCAGCTATTATCACATGCCTTTCCGTAACATTATCGCATCATATCCAGAAATCAACGCCACTTTGCTAATTTGAATATTATA